AAAAATTTCTGTGTTTGTGTTCTGCGCACAGGTTTTGTAGGAAAGGTTTTCCTTCTCAGGCCGTCATTTCTATCGCACTGATAGTCTCATCCAGTAACTGTCAAACGAACAACGCCACACATTTTATCGGCAATGTTTGACAATGTGAGCGAGAGGTAAGTGCGTCCACGACCGTACTCTTTGCACTATGCTCCGTGCTCAATGTTTGGACGCACTTTAGTTTGCAAATAATGTTATTGTTAGTGTAGTGCAGAGCGTGTTTTCAGCTGACGTTATCAGCACTAACTAACGTCAGCTGCTGATATCAGTATGCGTTGCGTTATTTTAACGCATTTACAGTATAAAAACGAGATATCATCCCAACATACCAATGGAATGATTATTCAAACTTTGGTTTTTGTAATGCAAATCCGTTAAAACAACGCAACGCATACTCGTCAGCAGCTGATATCAGCAGCTGACGTTAGTGAGTGCCGATAACGTCAGCTCAAAACACGCTCTGGTGTAGTGCTATCCCTGTGATTTCTATCAGCTTGAATAAAAATATCCGATAGTATACATACTTCATTCGTCTTAAAAATGGTTGAAAGCGCATATATATTCAATTTGGGAGATTTATTGAGTTTTTTTTGCATTTTTTTTGCAGTTATATACTAGAGCTTGATAAACGTGGCAATATACATATATTTTTTTCGATCTTTGTAAAAGGAAGCACGAAAACCAAAATAAAAACAAACAATATGTCGACGCGATACACACACACACACACAGTATTAGGTGATTAAAACGATTCCACTTTTGCTTGGAATATTTTTCAGGTAAATGGTTGTCCAAATGGGACAGATGATCGTGAGCATCTGTTGGGTGGTAACGGTGCGGAGACTTCACACAAAAAAATTCAACTGTCGCATATTATGGGATTCATTCAGCTAGGAATTCAACATATTGTATGTATCGATTTGCGACAATGCCCATTTTCGAATTACGCATTATTGGGGCTCATTACTCAAGAATATTTCTATCCATTTAATGTTTTAGGTTCGTAGGGAATTGGCAGAACCAACACATGACGTGTCGATGAACGACTTTGGGAAGTTGGAAACCATATCATTCCCACCAAAAGGTTCATCACAAACGCCCGCACACCACTATGCTGAGTTTAGATTAAAGACCTATGCTCCCATAGTATTTAGATACTTTCGTGGATTTTTCAGGATCCAGCCGCATGATTTCATGGTATGCATTCACTCATTTATCACCGATAATTTTGTCAACCGCCTAACTAATTGAAGTAATAAATTCAAACAAAAATGTTTTCATCGAATTTCAGTCGTCCTTGTGTACAGAACCGTTGCGAGAACTGTCGAACCCTGCTGCATCTGGTTCACAATTCTACTTAAGCGATGACGATAAGTTCATCATAAAAACGGTACAACACCAGGAGGCTGAATTCTTACCGAAACTATTGTCCGGATACTACAGGAATCTAAATCAAAATCCACACACACTCCTACCAAAATTCTTCGGCTTATATGGTTTTCAGTCCAATAGCGAAAATGTCCGTTTAGTTGTAATGAACAATTTGTTGCCATCATCCGTAAAAATACACCAGAAATACGATTTCAAGGGGGCTATACACAACCGAAAGGTGGGTTAACCGAAAAATGTGAATTAAAACGTCAGCAACAAAAACGAAGTCGTATTTGGAAAAATTCATTTGGAATTTTGATTTAAATTTCAGCTCAATCAACAAGAACGTGCCAAATCATCGCCAACATACAGAGATTTAGATTTCATGGAACACCATCCGAACGGTATATTCCTCGAATCGGATACGTACAATGCATTGGTGAAGACGATACAACGTGATTGTCGTTTATTGGAATCATTCGAAATTATGGACTACTCATTGCTAGTTGGTGTACATAATTTAGATTTGGCAATTAAAGAAAAACAGGAAAAATCATATCGACCACCGCCTGTGATGCCAAGACCAAGTGACAGTTCATCCGATGAATCCGATCCACTTGATAGACCTAACGGAATCCCAGCGCGCAATGGGAAAGGCGAACGATTGCTACTATTCATTGGTATAATTGATATATTACAATCGTACCGTTTGAAGAGAAAACTAGAGTATGCATATAAAAGTGTTATTTATGGTGGGGTAAGCATAATGCATCACAATTTATAGATATACACACGCAAATACTCACATCAATTCCAATTCTAATTCAAATGTATGATTGTTGCCGTTGCTGTTATTCAAATTTATAGGATACTGTATCCGTGTGCCAGCCATCATTCTACTCTCGGAGATTTCAGAATCTCATAGCCAATAAAGTTTTTAAGAAAATTCCATCGCGTGAGTTTCCAATTCGTTGTATAAAACTACACGTTCATCATGCAATTTCATGAAACATGTAAAATTTGTTTGGGAAAAAACAACGCGTTGAATATTTCTATTTACCCATCAAAAACAAAAATTGTAACATAAATTCAAAGCTTTGTATGGAGCTGTTTGAAATGTCAATTACGAGATTTTGGTTCAATATTTTGTGAGCCTGATCCATCCAATAATCGAAATGCATGTCTCACTTGACCTCTAGTATTTATACTATCAAAAATTAGCTCAATCCATGAGTTTATGTTACAGCTTCATGGATCCATTTTCAGCTTTTTCGAACATAGGATACCCTACTTTTTCTGTGTACGACATTTTCTTTCGATTCATTTCACTGATCAATTTTTTTCTTCAATTTTTGCAAAAAAAGACGAACGCGGTCGAAGAAAACTTCATAACGCTGCTAAAGATGGTAATTTTGAATATTCATCTTTACTAAATCTGAAATTGGCAGACTCTATTTCAATGATCTGTTTCAGGTGATTTGGATGTCGTTAAAATGCTCATCACGAAAGGAGCTAAAATTGATACTATCGATAGTTTAATGCAGACACCGCTCCATTATGCTGCTGCGAAAGGTAATGTTGAATATTTATTTTCGATAAAAATGAGAATGGATTGATCTTTTTCATTGATCTGTGTTACATTATATTTTTCAGGTCACACGAATGTCGTTGACCTACTCATAAAGAAAGGAGCCAATTTGAATTTTGAAAATCACATTAAGGAGACACCTCTTCATTTAGCTACTGAGAATGGTAGTTGGAGTGTTGTACATTTCTATAGTATGGGTGAGATTGAGAGTAGTGTATGTTTTTTGACGACTTATATTTTGATAAAAAAGAGTATGTTTCACTCGTGCTTTTCGGCGATTTTAATTTTACTGACAGAAAAACTTCGAATTGGTGTCTTCGCAAAGAAAAATAAAACGAATTACATATGTAATCCAAACTTTTCCGCTCCGCGGCAATTCGCTTTGCCTCCCGCTTGGTATTTAACCAAAATTGCAATGAAAACTCTTTTCATAGCACTTCGGAGCTTTAAAAATACAGTGGAACCTCGGAAATTAGAAGGTGTTTGTACTTCGGGTACTTCTAATTTCTGAATTCTTCTAATTTCGGAGGCAAATTTTTTTCGCATTAATTCTGCAGTTAAATGAACGAAATGACACTACAGTAACACCAGAACGAAATTCCCAAATAAATATATAACTTTGAAACATACTTTTAACAAGATTCCAATATTTTTCATACTCTGCCTTAATAATCCGTTTCAATAATATTCCAATTAAATTAGAAGAATTATCAGACAAAAAAATTCATTTATTTCGAGATGAAAGTTTATAAAAACTATGGAGATGTATTTTTTGCTATAAAAAAACGAATGTAAAGTAAATTTGGAGCAATCCGAATCCAAAAAAACAAAATTTGTTCATTTTTGGACGAAAATTGAATATATTTCCAGAAGATTTTGAGTTCAATTTGCTTCAAATCAGCCATGATTGTATATTTTAACGATGAAATGTTCCTAAAAATTTTCGCTTTCAAATAGAATTCACATTAATATGTTTTGTTTCGAGATTTTGAAGCTGAGGCTCATAATTTTCAAAAAAAAACCACAAATAGTGATTCAATTCCCTAGTTTCGTCAAGCAGTTCCAATCGATGCTTTGTTCCATTTAAAATATTTTTCGTTCGATACAATAGCTGCATTGCATTAAATAAGCATTTAAAAAAGTACCTCTGAAATTAGAAGACAATCTTCTAATTTCAGAAGCAGCAATGGAGCGGAGAATTCTCTTCTAATTTCGGAGGAATTCTAATTTCTGGATCTTCTAATTTCCGAGGTTCCACTGTAACTATTTTGACCATTTTCCATATAAAAATGTCATTTTCGAACAGAATTTCAAAAATTTCAAGAAATGTCGGTTTTGGACCAAATTTATGGGCAAGCAGGTGCTTGGTTGTTCGAAGGTTCCCATTATTTTTGCAAAAAAAAACATCAGTTTGCCTTGACCGAAACTCTAAAAAATGGCTTTCTGAGTGATTTTTCATAC